TTAGGACGATCTAGGGACTTAGAAATGAAAAAAATGAACAGGACAGATAACTGTGAAATGCGAAGAACGGGATAACTTTTTGAATATGATGGACCAAGAATAGTAAACCACAATAAATGAAGAAGGGTAGAAGTTTTTAATACTATGCTTAAACAGTAAAGAAAATGATAATAGTAGGTGAATACAAGAAGGGGTATGATAAGTGTGAACAAGGTTCCCAATGAGAGAATAGGAGAAACATTATATTCAAATACGGACCCCACTACTCGTACTTTAGGTTGATCACTGTGATCTTGGCGTGAGGTCGACGGAATTTAACAAGTTATCCATAAAATAGAGATTCAAATAAGTCCCCAGTTAAAATCAGGGAGGTTGTTTCACGAGTGCTGGTTGTTTTTCGCACATCGTGATACAAAACTATGGGCGGTTGAATAGCTTAATTTACCTCGAAATAGTTTGAAAAAACATTTTACAACGTGAAATTCTGTAGTTAAATTCTCACAACCCGAGCAATTCCATCAGTGCCGCCAATTCACTTACTTTTTCGCAGAAGTCTTCGGTATACGGGGCTACCAGAATAAATTCTGCGGAGCAACACACAAAAATTCTCTGATGAGCAAAGTAAAAGTATTGATGCTGGTGTGAGGAAAGCAGCAATGTTTCCGAAAGTTTCCTTGCCGTATAGAGTGTTCAAAATTGTAAGGGTTACCTGTGTGAATTACTCGTGACAACTGGAGGCACTTATCTTCGGATGATTGACAAATATCGAGTCTGCTTTTACCAGCCAGGTTTTCATCACTTTGTGCTCACGAACACAGACTAACCAACCTGACTGCTGCTACGTGTTTAAGGCGATTTTGAACCAGCTGTCGAACCACTCCTGAGCCGCAGTTGGAACAGAAACAGAATTGCTCCTTTGAGGATGACATGGAACAGAGTCGCGGTCAACTAGGTCTACACATTTTATTTCCAGTAACCATCTGTTTGCACAACTGCATTGCTCCAGATATTAGAAAAATGAATAACAGGTCAATCTCAGCAAAGCGCTGATAACTAATCGTTTCGTTCATTAGCTGATTCAAACAGCAGAAAAGTCGATTTACAAAAGGTAAGCCTAGCTTTCTGTACTCACAAAAAGCGGTTACTTCGGTGACCAAGACCGGAATTATCGACGCTCGACCATTCATGTGAAATTCAAGCAGGTCATTCCGACATTTCTAGATATTTCGTACCTCATCGTTTATTTTGCGTGCTTGTCAAGCAGCAGCCAATAGAAACTTTGTCCCACAACCGTAATATTTACCATACTCTGTTTCTAGCCGAATGTACTGGCCAGTTTAGAAAAGGGTTGGTTACTTTATACTCACGGTTATTTAAACAAAGTAGCACGGCTTTCTGCGACGTTAGACTGGTTATCGTATCAACGCACACGGTGATGATACCTTCCCTCCAGTTGGTGAGAAGTTTAAAAGTCTGGTGACCATACCATCCACCAAATGCTCAACGGTACTTAAACCCAAGTCGCAGTACGATCTCCAAGGAGTTGTAAGATCTTAGGCGCTGTAGGTTGCTCATACATATCTGCAGTATGTGTTCTAGGCACTTTCCCTATTTCGGCATACGCTGTAATTCTTTGCATTTCGAAATGGACCATAATCCTTGCCGGATTTTATGCTACAGACATGCAGTTTTGAACGAATTACTCAGGTGAGTATCATCTACACCTTGCATTTATAGCTAAATTTAGTGGAGTGCGCTACACGATGGTCACGTCAACTTTTATTTGGAATGATACTCTGGACATCGGAAAGCTATGGTCAGGATCGAGAGAGCTGTGTTGCTGGGAAATTGAAATGTTCTTTATTGTTGCAAAGCAGCAAACATCCGAAGTTGGAATTATACCATTATCACGTAATCATTCGTCCTGAAGATACCAAACAACACTTGAGAGTATCAGGAAAAAATATAATTTCCCACCACGTTTGTAAATGCTCCAAAATCATTTGAGGAAAAAACTAAAAGGAACTAACACATTACTTGGGGTTTCATATAAGACCACCACAAATTCTTGTTTACTCTAGCTCACTTTTAGAGCGAGTATTTATTTCCTTGATGATGCTTTCCAAAACAGATGCGGAACACAACCTTGTACAATCGCAAACGTGAAACATTCGAGTTTTATTAAGGTGCTTTCCTCGAGTAACAAGCTCCCTCCATTTCCTTGATGATGCTTTCCAAAACAGATGTGGAACACAACTTTGTACAATCACAAACGTGAAACATTCGAGTTTTATTAAAGTGCTTTCCTCGAGTAACAAGCTCCCTCCAGATCGGAATAGACATTCCCTCGTCAAGTGCCTAGCTAGTTCGCACTCTTATTGAAAACACATTCTCTACACTAAGGCACTGCGATAATCTCAACCTGATGACTCTTGCGGCTGTGACTGGGCTTTCTTTGATCGCAGGAGTAATTCAGTCGGGAAAACTTGCACAGAGAACATGAACAAACTAAAGATATATAACTTTGTATGGACTTCTCAGCAGAAATATCCCAACTAGAGACGAACCGACTACTCCTTCTCTACAAATGAAGCAGACGAAATAAAGCAATGAAGGCTTTGGGATAGTTTAGCTAACTACATATACGCTCTGGTTTCACCCCCTGATTGCTCTGTGGTTTAGCTTAAAACACATCCTTCGTTTGCAATTAAGAAGACTTTTTGCGAGATTCAGAAGGTATAAAAAGTGCGACTATCATTCAGTTAAATTGTCTTGGTTTGTCTCTGCAAACTTCCTTGCTTTTCATTCTTCAATTTTCCTCATTTGTTTCAACCAGCCAAAACAGTTCTGCTGGAATTTGACGATGATATCCAGTCTTTTAGAAGCGTGAACTATGTTTCTGAATAACCTAATATACACATAAGCTGAGGATCCACTAAAGCTTATTTGGGCCTTTTTTCCACGAAAATGAGAAGCAGATATTCGTTGAGCCGTGGTTGCATAACTGAACGGTAGGACCCCTGAAATTCATCGAGGAGTTGTAAAAGCTGGTATACAACTGACACATGAATGGACTGAAAGAATAGAAGGTCGATTTAACTCACGAGGATGTGGTACTTGTGGAACTTCCATTGCATCGACCTCTAAAGATCAACAGTAGAAGCGCTTTTATTTGTTGTTTGCAGATCACGCCCAGCGGTCCAAATAAATAAAATTTAAGATAAAACAGGTTAAATAAGGTGGTATGGTACATTTGTGCAATGCAAAAATGTACACAAAGCTTCAATACAAGAAAATGTTGCTGTATGTGAAACGAAACGGAGTTCAGTAGTGTACCACACAGAAGAATATAACTGCGCTTTCGCCTACGTGATATACCAACATGTATTCAGTTTAACTATTTCAAAATAAATATGTGCTCAAAACCAGTTAGATCTGGAACCGATTGAATGATATCGCACGCGCTGCTAAAATTACCAAAAATAAAACCAGATAGAAGAACAGTAGCATGTTGATGCAATAGAAAATTGAGGAGTGAACTGACCGTAGATGTCCTCTTTTTGTCCTTCACCACAGGTTGTCATACACCTCCTTTTCCCTCCGTTGATGAGCCGGTTGAGGTACCACATTAGGAAATCATAAGATGAATCATCCGGAGCGTCCTTCGGGAGTTTGGTGGTGTCCACTTTAACCTTGAGGTTAATTTGTAAGTGAGTTTCCTGCGGATAATCTCGGGTGAAAGTGCAGCTTGAGAGTAATCCATTGGCCCAGTACTCCGCCGAATGACTACGAAGCTAGCAATAAATATTTTTTGCAAAACATTACGAAAGAAATATCGACGTTTCATCGTTGTATGTAGAATGATCGACAAGGTTTGAGTCATAATGTCCATAACACATCCACCAGAAGCCTTGTCCACAGAAATAATTTTGTAAGAGTATAATGAAATTTCCTGGTAAAGGAAAGCCTATTCATGGGACGTGGAACATTTCAAATGTGAAGATGGTTCGGCAGTTCTTTGTAACATTGTTCGGATGTTACATTGACGCGTGTTCGGCTACCACTGTAACGGTTGATGCTACTGAGGAGGCATGCGAGTAGTGTTTTCTCGTAAATACGTCTCTTGAAAGGTGAGATCTATTACGGAATTTGTGGAGCCGCATTGTAGCATTTGCTTGCATTTGAGTAAGTCAATGAATATCTAGGAAAGTTTAGGAAGACGCGTTCAGGGAGAAGCTGGATATTCAGTTTTGGTAAAATGCATGCATATGAGAGTTTTGCTTCCCTGTCCATTAGTCTATAACTGGTCAGTTGGCGTTTCCCTAATACACAACTACGCAGCGAAGGTCTTCTTCCTTTCACCACCGGAAGGAGGAACCCTTTTGAAGATTGCGGAAGTAAAGCAATGGCGGTTCGATGGCGCCTATGTGAGTCAGTTATCAATGAGCGCCCCGAAAATATTGTTGTGCATGTTCTCTAATCTTGTCGGACGTAAAAAGGCTTTTGAGACGGTTTTTATACTAGATGTCCCTGTTTTGGAGTGCTACTGAAAGTGGGTGGACGCGTCCACGGAGGTTAGTCCTTGGTCGTACACCGCCATGTAAAATATCAAGTCCGCATGTGTCCATGGCCAGTCTGACACTAAGTACTTAGAACCGTAAAACTACAATACCTCCCTTGAGATTAAAAATACAACACCCAAGTCTCTACACTTGATTTTTCACGCTTATTGCATAAACTCTTGGCGCGTGAAACGTAGGCCGATGGGCTACATTCCGGTAGTAAGTATAGGGAAACGATAAAACAAGGACACAACCCTCAATAAGAGAATGGGTTTCCAAAGCGCGGAAAAATCGCAAAGTTTTGTAGTTCTTGTTATTCTGAGATATTGAGCTACCCCTAATGCGTACCATGAAATGCCGGCCGACATCTGTTCTTGCCAAAAGCACTGTCCCAAGGTAGTGATTTATGGTCATCCTTGACAGTGTAGGACTGAAGGGGAATGTTCTCCAGCTGATAAAACAAGGACACAACCCTCAATAAGAGAATGGATGTTCAAAGCGCGGAAAAATCGCAAAGTTTTGTAGTTCTTGTTATTCTGAGATATTGAGCTACCCCTAATGCGTACCATGAAATGCCGGCCGACATCTGTTCTCGCCAAAAGCACTGTCCCACGGTAGTGGTTTATGGTCATCCTGACAGTGTAAGACTGAAGGGGAATATTCTCCAGCCTACCACTACTTCTGTGGCCGTACGAAAGAAGCATATGTTGAAATTCTTGAACACCAACTCGCCCAATGTCCAACCAATTTACTCAAAGAAAATTAGGCGTGATTGTAATAAGAAACAACAATATGATAAGGAAAGGCCACAAAACTTAGAACGAATCACAAGTTATCGTTACTCTTTATTAATTGAGCATGTTACCAATGTGGAAAGAAATAAGAAATTCCTTTCGAAGGGTTGGCCGGGATAAACGGAAACTCTGTGCTGGATTTTGAAGATAAGCTAGGCTTTACAGTTCACTCTTGTGGAGTCAGAGGCGAATTACTTTTTTGTTAAAAAAATGCGTTAGTCGGGCAGTTGCCTAATACGATTATCATGCTTTTGAGAGAGAAGTTAAAGATCTCTAGATCTTTAAGACTCCAGTTCTGCATTGCAACGTGCTCATCATGAGCACTCCTTCCTAAATTTGAACGGATCTGGTGATCGGGGAGGTTCTACTTGAAGCCATATTTTGTGTATAATAGATTGGAAACAGCCACAACTGAAGGTAGCTGATTCTAGAGCTGGCCAGCTAATTTTAATACCAAGATAAAAAGCACAAACAGATATGTTGAGCTGCTACGAAATAGATCATGGACGATCACGTACGCAATTATGACCAACAGCACTCCTCAAAGCCTGACCGACAATTCCACAAAAGAGTTATGAAGTATCGCATAATACATCNCTTAGAACGAATCACAAGTTATCGTTACTTTTTATTAATTGGACATGTTACCAATATGGAAATAAATAAGAAATTCCTTTCAAAGGGTTGGCCGGGATAAACGGAAACGCTGTGCTGGATTTTGAAGACAAGCTAGGCGTCACAGTTCATCCTTGTGGAGTCAGAGGCGAATTCATTTTTTGTTAAAAATCCGTTAGTCGGGCAGTTGCCTAGTACGATCATCATGCTTTTGATAGAGAAGTTAAAGATCTCTAGATCTTTAGGTCTCTAGTTCTGCATTGCAACGTGCTCAACATGAGGACTCCTTCCTAAATTTAAACGGATCTGATGATCAGGGAGTTTCTATTTGAAGCCATGTTTTGTGTATAATAGGTTGGAAACAGCCACAACTGAAGGTAGCTGATTCTAGAGCTGGCCAGCTAATTTTACTACCAAGATAAAAAGCACAAACAGATATGTTGACCAGTTACGAAATAGATCATAGACGATCACGTACGCAATTACGACCAACAGCACTCCTCAAAGCTTGACCGAGAATTCCACAAAAGAGTTATGAAGTATCGCATAATACATCTGGTCCGCATCAGAAAATGATGGTAGGACTTATGAATGATTTACGATTTATTGAACATGCTTGGGTGAGCGTTCATCGTCTGTGTTGACGATGGTAGACAAGTGTGGATTGCTCATGAAGTTAAAGCAATAATCGAAAGGTGCTGTCAATCTATTAACGCTTGTCCTCGGCAAAGCGCGATCCAACAACTGCTGCAGGCCGGCAAAGAACACGGTCGGGTCAGATCCGGGTGCCATCCTGGCCGTCTTGAACCGCCTCATAGCCTCCTGGCGGTCGGACGGTGTGCCGAACTCCGCTGCAAGGACTTCCTTCGCGGCGCCCCAGTCCATCTTCTGAGGGCCTCTTCCGGCCGCATCCAGGGCTGCCTTTGCCCGGCCCCTCAGGAGGGTCTTCGGCGCTGCCAACTTACCCCGGTCGGTCTCCAGCCCGGCAGCCTCCGTAACTTCCTCAAAGTCCTCCAGGAAGGTCCGAACATCCCAATCCTCAAAGAGTTGCGGCCATGGGATCTTCATCCTTATCCTGTTCACGGTACCAAATAAGAGGAAGAAGGCCTTCGCTGCGGAGTTATTTATTCGGAAATGCCAACTGACCGGTTACAGACCATTGGACGGTAAGGCAGAAACCTAATCTGCATCTTAGTTAAAAAAACTGGACACAGATCTTCTCCCGAACGAGTCTTCCTAGAGATTCGTTGCCTCCACTCATTCGTCGGTCAAATCCAAGCAAATGCTACAAAGTGGCCCCACGAATTCCGCAACAGAATTCCCTTTTTCAGTCGACGCAAAGCGAAATTCTACGAACAACACATACAACTCGCGTGCCTCCCGATCAGTAGTACCACCGTTACACTGGTACTATTATCCAACTAAAACTTTATTCAATTGGTCTCAATCAACTCATGCATTTATGAACTGCCAGTACTTGGTCATCCCGCTGAGGGGAAAACTCTTCCAGTTAGAAATCCGGTGTTGTGTTCCGCTAAACACAAACCCCCCGGAATTGCCAATACAATTCTCCCTTAAGAGTGGATATCCATTTCAGGCGGGAGCACCTACGTTGGCGGCCATGTTTCTAGTTTTAAAGGGGCTCGAAAAAATAACACTCAGATCACTTGATATTTTCACCGCCTGGATTTAAACTAAGCCATTTCATCTTCACTTGATCCGGTGCACCTACGCACAACAGTCGAAAGATTTGACGTTAGGCTGTACTCTTTACTAAAATGGACTTGGCCACTAAAGTGCCTGCTTAATGCTAGCTAATCGTTTTGACCTCTGGTTGGACTTGGACTGTAAAGATACCCGGCACCAAGCCAGTGGAGGAGGTTGTGAAAGTCTCGAAACGACAGAATAACACGGAAATAGAGTTACTCGAAGAATTCAGCTGTAATGAACCTCTTTATTCATTTCATACGGCGGACAGAAAGAGTGGTGAACATAAATAGACTGAGGAATGTTTTTAAGCCACTACGGTAACTGTAATTTCCAGTCCTTGAAATCCACACAATAGGCGGGCGTGTGGCACCATGCCCAATTAGTTGCTGAAATCCTGAATTCCACTGGACCCCAACCCAACCCACAGTTTGCGCGCTAAAGAGTAATTTCACATGCAAGAGCGATCTTTTCAGACTACTGTTTGGAAGGTTAGAAGCATCATGTATGATATTTTTGTTTCCATCTCTATCATGACCTCCAAACGTCCATAGGCAAAGCTTACAAGACGACGGTTGCAGGCTAACCCATGTGAGTCTGCCACCTCCGGATAAACTTTACAAGAAATCTGGTCCGTTCCACGTGGTTTCTGAGTTGCCGAGACCCGTTGCTTTCATTATATAAAACAATTAAACCAATAAGCTGTTTTCAGTTCTGCGGGGGTCTGGCGCCAAGTGCTAATCATCAGCGTAAAAGTGCCAATTTAAACATTTGGCATCAATGAAATTAGGGATGCGTTCCTACTTTCTGGAGCCCATTTAGCCGAAACATATCCTTGTGGGCCAACTGAAAGAGGTTTTGCAAGGAAGTTCAACATGCCATTTAACCAGATATCAACTTTACTTTAAGACATCTGCTCCTAATCTNTGACAGAAGGCAGAAGTACATAGGACTCGCTGTCATGTGACCAAGAAGATTTTGCCCGTTCTCGGAAATTGGGCGAGTCCCTCTAATCACATTCTTTATTTAGAAGGTAGAAGATTGGGTGCTGCTCAGTTTTTGGAAGCTAGATTCACCTTATTAATTCCATGGTGAGGCATGTAACTCTCCTTTCGAGGTAGTTCAAAAATACCCCAATCAAGGAAACTCAACGTTCTTGAAGTATTATTGGCAAGTCATGTCAAGCCAGTGTCTCGCACCCAGAATAACTGCAGAGCATTTCTGAGGTTATGACGGTTGTATTGAATAAGTGAACTTCTAATCAGGTTTTTACACAATCACCGTCCATTTCGCGCACGATTTTATTTTCGTTTTTGACCTTTTTGGCTGGAACCAATGCCAGAATGATTACTAGCAGACAACTTATCCGTTCACTCTGTTTTTCCAAGCTGTCATCAAACTGAGATGGTGAATAGAAAAGCTTTGGATTGATCAAAATGTTTATTCACTCATAGACCTCCTTTACTTAATGAAGAATAATACGACGCCTGGCTTAGCTAATCGTCTAAATTTAGTGGAAAAAATGCGACTTCTAATTACCAAACGCACACCTCCGGCTGTTCAGGGCACTACCCCCAGTCTGATCTTGTTTTCTAATGTAACGACTCCTACTGGTGAAAGGAAGAAGGCCTTCACTGCGGAGTTATTTATTCGGAAATGCCAACTGACCGGTTACAGACCTTCGGACAGGGAGGCAAAACCCTAATCTGCATCTTAGTTAAAAAAAACTGGATACAGATCTTCTCCCGAACGAGTCTTCCTAGAGATTCGTTGCCTCCACTCATTCGTCGGTCAAATCCAAGCAAATGTTACAAAGTGGCCCCACGAATTCCGCAACAGAATTCCCT